AACTGCATCAGGACAGCAGAGTCACTCGCTACTTTCAAGAAACGACTAAAAACTCAACTATTTAGTCTCCACTTCACTTCCTAATCTGCAATTGCCTCTTTGAATATCACACTAACTGTACAAAAAAAAAAAAAAAAAAAAAATACTAATGCTAATACTTCCCTTCTTAGACTTTACAGACCTGAAACTTGCCTACAGCACTTATTCATTGTTGCTCTTAGTTGTGTAAGTTGCTTCCTTGTCCTCATTTGTAAGTCGCTTTGGATAAAAGCGTCTGCTAAATGACTAAATGTAAAATGTAAATGTTTTCCAGTGATGGGTTACGGCCGGAAGGGCATTCGCTGTGTAAAACATATGCCGGATAAGTTGGCGGTTCATTCCGCTGTGATGACCCCTGATGAATAAAGGGACTAAGCTGAATAGAAAATGAATGAATGACCAATTAAATATAAACCATTCTGCTTAAAATGTCATGAAACATGTGACTCACAAATCTGAGACACGTTTTAATTAGGAAAAAGAACAAAGTAAAAAAAAAAAGTTGAAAAAACACTGACACTTGGGCAGCGTTTGAGTCTGGCCTGTTCAACACTGTGCACAGAAAACACACCTATACAGGAAACTGGGCCTCACAATGTGGCTACCTCCCCCCCCACCACACACACACACACACACACACACACACACACACAAAATAACGGACTTTCCACTGATGATCGCTATCCACCCACACACACACACACACACACACACACACACACACACACACACACACACACACACACACACACACACACACACACACACACACACACACACACACACACACAAACACACACACACACACACACACACACCTCAGAAGATCCTTGCACTGTTTCACTAAACTGCTTTGGATTTCTTGAGAACACACTCATTTGTTTCAGACCGTTTTCTGTGCATCTTCACCTCAATCTCAAACACCAATTCAACACATTTAATCTTTTTTCTCAATGCAATGCTTTGACCAGAAAGAGTTTTATAAAAAGTTTTTTAGATATATATAATAGGGAAATGAATAAATGCCAATGCTCTCAAAGTAAACAGTTAAAACAGATTACCATAAAAAAATGCTACGCAGTTCCATTTTAGGGTCATTTTTGACCCGATTATCTTTGTAGCTCCTTTAGGTGTCAAGAATTCATTCATTCATTCATTTTCCTTCAGATTAGTCCCTTAAAAAATCAGGAGTCACCACAGCGGAATGAACCACCAATAGTTCCAGCATTTGTTTTTTACAGCGGATGCCCTTCTAACCGAAACCCAGTACTGGGAAACCCCACTCAACGCTCACATTCACACACTCATACACTACAGCCAATTTAGACACCGTTTACACTAATACAATTTTGTATGAAAACCAAATGGCAACCTCCCGCTCTCCCTCGTGATCAAATATGGAAGTAATTGAAACTGCGATTCAACAAAATTCCGCTAGTCCTGGCTCCATCATTTTTGTTGACCCTAATGTTAAAATGGCCAAATTTACAGCAGAAAAAAGGTGTTTACAACCTGGTACAAAGAATGATTTTGGTTAATACAGCTAATATCACCCTTCATGACAACTGTGAGGGGGGGAATTTTTTAGAACTCATCCGTTTCTTTTATATTAGGTTATACTAAGTTTGCATAGCTTAGGGCGTGGCCACTTGAGTGACAGCTATGTCTCGCTGGTCACCATCACTTCACCTCAGCTGATTCCGGCTGATTAGCCGCTGAGCTCGGCATATTCATCGTATTTTTGTTTTGTCTTATGTGGCTTTACACAGTCAGTTGCCTTTTGGAATTATTTCCTACAATTATTAGATGGCATGGCATGCTGTGTGCACTTTATTGTGCTCACAAACCATTCACGTGGCCTTCATTTCCCAGGTGAGTGAAATTATATACTTACACCCTTAAATCCCTATTTTATTTAGGATCATTTATCATTTATAATGTTCTTTAGAGCTGTAGTGCACTCCAGAATCTGACAGATTGATTAGCTGTAGGCTCTAGAACAGTCATCGGAAGCGTTGTCATACAGTGTCATTTTACTGATGTGGTTTCCAACAAAGCACATGTGGTCAGAACACAAACAAATCACGTAAGCCTGTCCAAGTAAAATGCTAGCATGCGTCTGTAGCTCCACTCGCGCTCCGCCTCTTTGCCCTTGTTTAGTATTGTTGGAATAAGAGGTCTATTAGTCCATGCGTGTTCAATACAAACTCAGTAGGCGGAGATCAATTTAAAAACTATTAGTAATTTATTAAGTATAAATGAATAATTCGATTAGGGCCCTGGGTCGCACAAATGTGTCCTATTGGTTATACCAGTGGTTCTCAAAGTGGGGGTCGGGACCCCCTGGGGGGTCGCGGGACAATGACAAGGGGTCGCTTGGTGATATCCAAAACTCAAATAAATTTTATTAAACTATCAGAATTACCATATTTTATTCATAACCGACAGAATATAGTTAATAGTTGCATTAAAGAAACAACAACATAAAAATAACAATCAGCCATCAGCCTTTAATTTTAAAAGCAAAATGTAATTAAATCCATAAATGACTTTAAAAAACATTATATGGCTTTTTGTGACTGTTGCATTTTTGTGTTGTCAATAAGCTCATGTTTATATTTGCCTATAGTTGTGTCTGCAACGTTTACATATTTACACCACCTTGAAAAATGGGGTTCGCGAGCCACTGATGTGATTATTTTTGGGGTCGCGGGCTGAAAAGTTTGGGAATCCCTGGGTTATACAATGCAATCCAAGAGAAACCACCAGGCGCTCTGTGAGTGTTTTCTTAGGACTAAAAACCCAGTTTATATACACAGTATATACAGTCTGCACCATCTCTAGTTCCTCTATTTTGCACAGAAGAGCTGGACCAGTTAAATGCACATGCTTAGAGACCTCCATAGGCTCCCATGTGTTTCCATAAATGGTTACACAGGAAATCAGAAGTGAGAGACGCGCGTTATACTTGTTGTTTCTGCTGCATATTTCTTGTCCAAGATAGCTCTTTCTGCAAAATGCCTTATTAGTATGCAAAATACATCTCCTCAAAGGCTAGTTTCGGTTAGCATTTAATTTGACAGAGCATACAAAATATAGTATAGAATACAAAAATACATATGGTTAAGAATGACTGTAAGGTAAATGATTTAACATCTCTTTAGGCTAAGCATACACAACATACTACTAGAGAAACAAGGATAACTCTCATGATAAATGAAAAAAAAAAAGAATAATATTTTTTACTGTATCCCCCTGTTACGTAGCGGATGCACCCCGCTACGCACATAAGGATGACCGCTATAAAAATAATGATTAAGGATGACCGCTATAAAAAGTGGTCACCCGGAGTCCCCGTTCCTGTTCCCCCAAGCACACACACACAGGCCAAGTTGTCAATAAGGGGTATCAGATTTATTAAACAAAAAGATCAAAATCAGAATCAGGGAACAAAAAGGCCAAAACAACAAACAAAACAAGGTACGCTACCTAATATTAAACCTCTTACCTATACCAAAAATAAAATTCCATAAATAAAGCATACAATTCTAACCTCCATAACTAACCACAAAACAGGAGAAAACTGGACAAAAGAAAAAGGGCCTTCCCGTTGATCATTCAGCATTAAGGTAAATATTAGCCACAGCTAACACATGATACCGTCCTAGTACCGTATTTAACAGAGTATCTCACCAGATGACTTTGAAACAGGGTTGGAGAAAGGCATTACACAATCAGCCACCGCTAATGCAGGTTACCGTCCTATTACCGTATTTAACAGAGTATCTCACCGGATTACTTTGAAAAAAAGGTTTCAGACAGATCACTGCCGCACAGAGAACTCGGTGCAATGATGCGCGAACAAAATGGCGACAGTTGGCCACGCCTACTTGTAGATTCTTTTGCAGAAACCTATGGGTGACGCCACGGATATTACGTCCATATCTTTTACAGTCTCTGATAAAAACGCATATTTAATATATTTAGCATATTTAGACTTTGATACAGAACTCAAGCCCCGCCCATTTGTTGTTAAAGGAAGGATCAGAAAAGACTATTGATGTGTGGGACTTTCTCAGAGCTCGACAGGAAATATACAGTGCACAGTTTATGGATCAGTTCCTTCCTCCATCTCACAAGTGTAAGTAACTTAAGTGCGATTAAAATGGCTGCCTCCTTGTTTTTTCTAGTTTGCAAATAATGTATTTAATTGTGTTTTGTTACTTGTAACCGCTCCACACGGCTTGTACTGTATCTGGTTAACTCTTTAAATTCTCATATCGCGTCTAAAACCATGTTGAAAACGTGACGCGTGCCGCTTTGATTGCTGACTTTAATGCGTTTGTAAGCTCTCGATCCTCTGCCGATTGTCGTTGTTATGGGCACCATCAGCTGTTCCTACACACGTGCAGCGGTCAAGTTTCAGAATAGTCCAGCTTTTGCCACTGTGTGGATTAAAACTGAATGCGTGTCATTGTTAAGAATAGAGTAAATGCTGGTGTTAAACTGCATTGCTTTAATGCACCCCTGCATTGGGCTCACACATACACTCTGACTACTTCAACAATGTTGATAAGCTGTGCTGGGCATTTCTCTCTCTCACACTGAACACAGTTGACCAATCGCAATAGACTGGGTCATCGGACCAATCAGTGCAGATTAGCATTGTGCTAAGGAGGGGTTTGGGAACAAATGAATCGTTGAATGAATCATATGGGAGTCGTAGAGATAATTAGATAAAATTAAATGCATATTATATTACAATAATAGTGTTTTTTGACCTTGCATGCATATCAGCCTGTTGTTGGAGACTCTTAAAACCAAAATATGACCTTTTACAATGCATATTAGGGGCTTAACTAAATGATAGCTTGGTCTGGCCCTCTTGCCTGAAAACACCAATCAGGATAGAGATGTCATTGTCTTAAGAAGAAAAATGAGAGATAAATCTGCTCTCTCACCTTCTCTTTCTTCCAGTGAGCGAGCAGCTCCTCTTTCTCTCTGCGGCTGATATGATACGGGTCTCCGGCCTGAAAGGTCTCTCTCTGTACGGGTCGCCTCCTCAGACTGATGTCCCAGCCCTGCCGGCCTCTGTGACGGGCACCGTCACTCTATAAGACAACACGGGTCATTTTACTTAGCTTAACAGAATAAAAAATTATAGTACAAGCAAAGAATTAAGTTCAGTGCAGTGACTATAAAGTTCCTCAATTAGGAAACAAGAAATAAATGTAAAATATAGACAATAGTGTTATTAAAGGGGACCTGCTATGCAAAAATCACCTTTATAAAGGGTTTAAACTAAGTGGCGCCGGAGTGGACAAAAGTCAAGCGAACACAGAGAGACCAAGTACGCGCGGGAGAGACCGAATGTGCACGCGAGAGAGACAGAGAGACTATTACAGTTACTATTTTTAATTACTATTATTAATACTACATTTACTAATTTGTTTCCATGGGTTCTATTTACCGTAAAAATTACATGTTTTATTGATACAATACATTTGTAAAGTGATAATTTCCACTTTGTTTAAGATAATTTGAGCAGTTTTACTGACTTTAAAATGCTGTTTATTACTACTTTGTTCTTATTAAAATAAATACGTAAAACATGTAAATTGAAACATTTTTTGGAAGTAGAGTTTAATGTAATAATTCAGCCTGATCTCATGACAAATTGTAAGTATTTTACGTTTTGTCAGTTTAATGGTTAATTCGTACGAGTTTAGTTGTATGAAAATGTATGATTTTAAAAAGGAGGCGTGGCACCCAACACTGCCCCTAAACTTGTTAAGCCTGTAATATCTCTTTACAAACAAACTTTAAAAGTAATGGATTAGAAACCAATAAGATGGCACCATTGTCAAATTCTTAAAAAATATAATTTGTTAAGTTTTGATAGTTTTTTAAAGTTTTCGTTTTTAAAAAACATGTTTAAGTGTATACATGGTCTTGCTTCTAAAGTAGTTTGTGAGTTAATAAATAAATTCAGTAGTGATGGGGCGAAGACTAGAGGGGCGGTAAGTGGGAATTGTAGAATCCGCAGATGCAGAACCGCTATGGGTCAGTCATCCTTTTCAGTAAAAGGTTCACATCTATGGAATGCCATGCCTGTTCATTTTAAGTTACAATCAGAACTCCCAGTTTTTTCTGTAAAGCTGAAAGAATGGTTGAAATCTTTACAGCAATGTGAACATTAAGCATTACTCTTTCAGGTTGGTCCCATTTACATTTCTCTTTATCCATATGGACTTGCATCTTATGGTTATGGCTCTGTAAATATTGTACATGTTTGCTGTATTGTGTTTTATTCTTGCCGGTTTTCTTTATTATTATTTTTTTTCTTTTTTATAATGTAAAGCCTAACCAGGGACGAGGGCTGCAAATTAGCTTTATGCTATATGCCCTATGTACACAACATCGGTTATCTTTGTATAACAATGTCAAATGTATTGTCCCTGTAAAATAAACAAGCAAATAAAAAATAAATAAATAAACCCAACTGTCATTGGGTGATGAGCAAATCGTACAAAATAATACAAATTCGATCGTACAAATTTATACGAATTAGCCACTAAATCAAAAAGTTGCGTATATAGTCTTTGAATAAACACTTATAAAGAAAATTTAATAAATCAGTTTGTTTTTATAACAGGCCTAATGTTGTATTTTTGCTCTTTAAGACACCCATGTTGTATTGTCCTACATTAAATTGTTAATATATTGTGTTTTGAAACTACATAATATTAGTGCATTGCACAAAAGACTTTTTTTTTTATTAACATATTCAAATGTTGTATTTCAATGCAGAACATAAGCAGTGCATTGCTTAAGTAGCTTCTTCTACATTCAAGCACATTCATATGTTATGTTTTGAACTGCATAACAATTAGGGAGGCAACAATCATAGATTTTCGATTATATAGTCTGTAGAATAATCATGGTTTCACGGTTATCACGTCTAATGTAAATGTAAGCTTTATATTAGGTAAATATTTCAATGAATTGTTGTTATCTGCGTTCATACATACATACATAATCATTTTAATAGTTTGTAATAATTCATTTAACATATCTTTTGTTTACATTGCACTGAAAGCCACGCACAAATCTCACTGCTACAGCATGAGATGTTTTCTACTTGGTGCGTCTGGAAGGCGTATATTGGCATATATTCTATTATTGGAAATAAAGAACTTGCGCACGGAAAAGATGCGATATGTGAATGGCTCGCCGCTATAGTTAATCCAGTGTGCGTGTGTATTAGCCTTGGTGTAGCTATAAGCTCGGAACTTTAAACTTGTGCAAAGACAGCATTACGTTGTTTAGTTGCAGCAGCGAGAGAGAGACCGAATGTGCACGCGAGAGAAACAGAGAGACTATTAGAGTTACTATTATTAATTACTATTATTAATACTACGTTTACTAATTTTTTTTACTAATTTACCGTAAAAAATGACACGTTTTATTAATACAATTGTAATATTTGTGCACTTTATTTAAGATAATTTGAGCAGTTTTACTGACTTTAAAATGCTGTTTATTACTCCGGTGTGTCCTTGTTCTGTTTAAAACAAATACTGAAAGTGATCATGTAAATTAAAAAAAATGGTAAAAAAATTGATTAAAATCTTGAAAAAATGCATTTAAAGATGTTTAAACGAATTTATTATTACGAATTTCTCGTACGGTTTCTCCTAGGTTTTTTTTTCCTTCACTTTCGCCTATTGGTAAAGTTTTTTTTCCTCGCCACTGTTACCACTGGCTTGCATAGTTCGAGACTTGTAGAGCTGCGCAATAATGGATTACTCTTCAGTGTTTGGACTCCCAGCAGTGAATATTAAAACACATTGTACTGAACTGAGCTAATCTAAACAGAACTGAACCTAAACTCTGAAAACTGAACTACACTGCTTCAATTCACTATAATCTTCTTTGTGAAGCTGCTTTGACACAATCTACATTGTAAAAGTGCTATACAAATGAAGATGAGTTGAATCGAATTAGATTGTACGAATTAATCCAAATTAGCCACTAAATAAAAAAGTTGAAAATTGCTGTGAGATTACGTCAAATAATTCATTAGGCCTGTAATAAAAACAAACTGATATATTATCTTTTCTTTATATGGGTTTAATCAAAAACTATGGAATACCATAAAGTGAATTTGGTTTTATTCAAAGTAAAAAAAAAATGTAAAAAAAAAGTGTTTTTTTAATCATCCATTTATTAAACAATGGCAATAAAAAAGGAAATTTAGTGAAGTCTCTGATGTGGTGAAAACTCCAATCATCTTTTATTGCAGCACTTTTGCAGTAGGCTATTGCAGTGCAGCAAAATAATGAAACTTAATATTAGATGTCCCCTAAACATGTTAGAAAATTAAAACTTGAATGAAAGTTGGCTCTGTATGTTAAATCTCTCTCTCTCAATTCAAAATTGTATTATCAAAATATTTGTAATAACATTAAATAGAAAATATGAACACTAATCAAAGTTTTAGTACTAGTAATTAATAATAGTATAAATAGTCTCTCAGCCTCTCTCACTTGCATTCGGTCTCTCTTGCGCACATTCGGTCTCTCTCAAGCGTGTAGATTCGGTCTCTCAGCATTCGCTAGACTTTTGTCCACTCTGGCGCCTCATATTAAACACGGTTGTGTGGCAGCAGCATGTGAATACAACCAGCTTCTAATGATAAAAATGTATTACGTTTTATTTTCTATAATCATACTTGATAAAACAGTCTGCAGAAACAATATGAGCCCATTAATGACAAACTCTCACTCATTAGCGTAGGACGTTAGTCTTGTTTTTGAATCGGCCACTATGCCGACACATACGCATTTGTTGCTCCGCCCTCTTTTAAAAAGAGCCCATCTCATTTGAATTTAAAAAGGCAGTCACCAAAGTGGCACAATCAGGATCAAAGCCTAAAAGGGGCAGTCTCAAAGAGTTATAAAACATTATCTGTGTGGTATTTTGAGCTAAAACTTCACACACACACTTTAGGGACATCAGAGACTTGATTTACATTTTGTATAAAGGGGCATAACAGGTCCACTTTAAGTCGAGGTTAATAGCAGTGTCAATATTCATCACCATATAGTTTCAGAGCAGTCAAATCAGTAGTGATTCTGCAGATGTGTGATTTGATTGTGTGCGGGCTGACAATACTGAATATGTCGGTGACTTTAAGCAGCATATTTATTTATTGTTATTACTTTACATTACAGGAACAAATCTCCTTATTATATTTAGCAAAATATCAGTAAAAGACCTATAAATGTGTCTTATGATATAAATATAAGTAAAACCTTGAATAGACTTTGTGAAGTCTAACATTTTTAATTATGCCACGGTGTCACCCATGTATCAGGACACATTTCTGGAAAGATGTCTTAGCAATGGTAGTATAGTTTCCTTTATTTACAAGGTTTTAGAGCAGGTGAAAAGTTCATCTATGGAAAACATTAAATCTTCCTGGGAAGAAGAACTTGCAGTAGAAATTCTAAGTGAAATTTGGAGTATTGAACTGGTTCACAGATGTTCCATTAACGCAAGACATGGGGCACTATCATACACCCGGCACAGTAAGGTGCTACACGTGTTTACCACAATTTGTTGCTATTTTCAAACCAGCGCAACCCTAATTTTCCTGTTGTCCGTCACATAGTTTAAATAGCAAATCTATTTGCGCCGCTTTGTAGACTCGTGGGTGTTTCGGTCTAGAATAGAGGTGTGTTAAGGCGCATTGCTGGCACGTTGCTATTTTGAGAAACTAAAATAGACTGTGCAACTGACCAGCTCTAAGCAGGTCTAAAGTCCAGTGCAGAGCGTGTCAGTTGTGCGACTCACTTACACATTGCTAAATACACGCAGGATGTACAGAATTATGCAAATATCTTTACAAATGAAAAAGAATTAAAGGAATAAAATATTACAAAAATTTGTACTTTCTTCATAAGTATAAAAACCACTGCCTTAATGCCTTCTTCATGTCGGGGGGCTTTTTCAGTTTATTTACGGCAACTTGCTTTTGTATAATGTTATTATTATTAGTATTATTTATTATATGGATATTTATATTTGTTTAAAAAAAACAAGTTTAGATTTGTCCACCTGTTGGGTTTTGGACCATATGGGCCATAAGAATAGGACGCGTGTTTGGTTATAACTCAGCTTTTTGACCACACTTTATTATTATTGTTTATTTATTTGTTTGCTGGAAATTATAAATAGTTTTGAAACAATTCTTTGTGCTTAACAAACTAAATAAATATGTAGGCTAATAGATGTCTGTGTGTACAACACTGTTTCCTTATCCACAAAAGAGATAAAGAGAAAGTAAAGAGGCCAAATAGCAAATGCACCACAGCTTGATGCAACCGTTTAGTCTCCACTACACTTCCTAATCTGCAATTGCCTCTCTGAATATCACACTAACTGTCCCCAAAAAAAAAAAAAAAAACTAATACTACTAATACTTCCCTTCTTAGACTTTACAGACCTGAAACTTGCCTATAGCACTTATTCATTGTTGCTCTTATTTGTGCAAAGTGCTTCCTTGTCCTCATTTGTAAGTCGCTTTGGATAAAAGCGTCTGCTAAATGACTAAATGTAAATGTAAACTGACTCATAAAGGGAATGGAGGATAAGACTCTGATTGATTTAATGCATGTTATGCTCAAAACACACCCATAACTCATAAAGAGAATAAGCACAACCGTGTTAGACCATGCGCCGTGGCGCAGAGCATATTTTTCCATCCGTAAAGTAGCAAAAGTGAATTTGGACCCTTCATGTCTTTGCACCATGTGCTTTAGACTTTACGCCTAAATTGTTCAAATAGAGCCCAGAGTCTTATTCAGATTAAAGTGCTTTATAGACTTCACTATTCCAATTGTAAATTGAATAAAATATTTTCAGAGTGTGACAAATGTCAGTTTTTAGATTCCAATCGGTCTCATTCCTGTTATGTGTCCCAAATTACAGAATTTCTGGATCAAAATAAGTTTTCTAGATATATTAGACATTCTGATTAAACCATCCTATATTATAATTCTATTTCTAAAAATTTGAGACTTACATAGGTTCAACAACAGTTTGTTTCATATGGGTTGATCTCTGCCAAAAACAATCATCCTTTTGTTTTGGAAGAACAAACAAGTTCCAACTCTTAAATTACGGCTGACAGAGTTAACATTACATCTGGGAAAAATCAGGTATCCCTAATAGACAAGATTTAATTTTTTTACTTGGTCCCCTTTTATTAAGTTTAAAGCAAGTTTTATGTTTGTATTTTAAAAAAAGTGTATTTACAAGGGAATGTCTTCTAAAATGTCTAACAATAAAAACATTAAAACCAAAAAAGACCTTGAATAAAAGAAGCCCATACGCCTCTAAAGCCACTCATTTCTGTTCATTCAGATTAACACAAACTAAGTTTTTATATTACACTAGAAGGATGAACTAACTGAGCTGTCCTTTGCTTTTTATCTCAGAGCACAGATCAAACAGATTCTAATTCTGCTTTGCAAATTGAATGCAAGTGTGACGAGTCTACCACCGTTTATCACACCTCCTAAAGCGCTGTCTAGACAGAATCTACACCCACAGATTTCCATTTTATTTTAAGCTCATCCTTTAATCTTTTTATTTATTAATGAAAAAAAATACATAGAGTATATATTTACACACATACAGAGAGAAAGTGAGTGTCGATTAGGCATGAGACGATAACCATTTTCAAGTTATACCGCAGTTTGGAAAAGTCAAGGTTTTAAAGCCGCCAAAATATTCTGTATTACCGTTCCTAAGGTATGTAACATATCTCTAGCAGAAAAGATATGCAAAGATGCGGTTTTAAATAAAAAAAGGTGTTGTTTTTACCCAGAAATTTAAAAAGAATATATTTTAGAGAAGTAATCACAATATTGTGAAACTGAGATATTTTTATCCAAGGTTGTTTCACACAGTGATATCGGTTAATATCCGGAAAATTTCCAGAGCGACTTTACTTGTAAATTTAAAAAAAGCCTTGTTCACACAGGCAAGGACGTTCAATTTTTCCAGAAAATACCATTCACACATCCAAACACCGGTAAAATCCAAAAAAACATCCTTAACCAGAAATTACCTGCGCTAGTATTTGTAAACATATTAGGGGTCAGGCTTTGTTTTGTTGTTGATGGTTTCACTTTTATTTAAAGCTTTAGCATTCATGTAGCTGCTTTTGTCTCAGAGACATCCAAAGGCAGAAGTGTGAACCACAGCTGAATGTTTACACACTTGACTACATTACAAATTGTATGTCAGTGCTGTAAATATACATTACGCTTATGGGGGGTCCTCATAAACCATATATACAAGTATTTGTGTGTGTTTGTCCGTACCAATTTTGGTGGTTTAGGAGGAAAACTGTACAAATTTGTATCATGAAATGGTTATTACCTAGATATTACAGTGTTAAGGTGGTTTATGAGGACGTGCACGAAGTCCTCGTAATTTACAACGTGTAATTTTATTCCAAATTAAATTGTCAGGGATGTAAATGTGCCAGAAAGTTTAACCTGGTGTTAAAAAAATCAATCTCCTGCATCTGACGCTAGTGCTGTGTCTTTAATATAATGTAATTACCCCAGGGGTCGCAATCTAATAGAACTAGTAACTATAAGCTACAATAGTAACTAAATACAGTAGTATATAGTAACTATAAACGACTGTTTTTTTTAGTAGGTTATGGATAAAATACGGTAATTCTTATGGTTTAATAAAAATAAATAGATTTCTGAAAATCACCAGGCGACCCCCCTTCATTGTCCCGCGACCCCTCGGCGGTCCCGACCCTAACTAATCGTCTCCTCCACCTGCACAAACGTGCGCTTGAGCGAATGAACGAATCACTCCCTGAAAGGACTCATCGTTCTCTAATCACATAAAAGATTCCTTAAAAAATTGAACAAATCGTTTAATAACGACCCATCACTGAGTCTTCTATTTTTACCCCCCTATACTCATAAAATAATTCCACATAAATGCCCAGATCAAATTTTTTTTACATAATTCTGCACAGAAATAGAAAACAAAAAGCTCACATGACTTCAATATATCTGCTTTAACCTCGTCGTAATCAGTGCTCTTCTCAATGCTTTGCGCGGAATGAGCTTCATGAGCCTTGCACACAGCAACACTTTGTAAAAAGCAGATCCCACACCCCTCTGTGCGGCTTAGATGTGGTCGCAGCACATTCAAAATGTGAAACAGTTGTCATCATCTTTCTAAGAAAAACAGGGACAACTGATCTCAAATGGACAAACATCACTGCTAAACTCTGATTCAGCAGAAGCCATTTTCAACAATGGTTCAAGTTAACAGTGAATTAAGTATGGACTTTTGTAGATATTTCTTTGCGTTTAGTTCATTCTCTGCTAGCTCAAACCATTTGAAAAAAAAACAAGCAGATAGTTTATTAATGAACTGACTGTATTTATGTGTAATAATGGATTACACATATAATTACTATAGTATATACGTAACTAGCTACTTCTTCACATGTATCCTCCCTCTTCCCACAACCTCTTGTTAACAGATAGCAAAACATTTAACATTTGTGACTTTCATTTATTTATTTATTTTATTTTTTTTTTGCGTTTGAACACTCAAGAAATCTTGGCATGCAATCGGGTCTGAATTAAACTGTAACTTTGGAAACTCACGGGTGTCCTTAAGTACAATCAGCGCAGAAAGGAACAAGTGTGCAATCAGTGTAATTTGAAACAAGTGTAGTACACTGTCAAACCTAAAAACTCAAACCACTTGAGGAAACTGATTGCAACAAACCATATAAGTTCAAAAACTAATCCTTATGAGTACTTAATCCATTTGAGTAAACAAAGCAATTTGAGCACAGTAAAACCCAATAAATGAAGAGAACTTGATCCAACTTAGTACTGTAAAACCCAATAATGTTCAGAGGGCAGGTGCGATCGAGTGATGATTGACAGCTATCTGAGCCAGTAACAGCATAAAGACTGCCATAATATAGCAGCCGACCAATAAGATCAAAATTCATGCAGCTATTGGCTCGTTTCTCTGTCAGTCAAACTTCTAGGATGTAGGAAGTAGCTGCTGACCGGGCAGTGACTGAGACATGCAGACGGCCAAAACACTCGGCTTTGTTTAGATTTTAGTAACTATAATTTAGACTTTTTATTCAGTGTGTGGTCTCATTTTATCTGTAACACTGTAAGCTATGACATACACTTGCCTTTTACTGCAAAAACGGCGTTTTCACGAGTGAGTACCATGGTAAAACGGTGTAAACAATAGGTCTCCGGCAGAAACGGTGACATAAACAAATGAATAACCATCCATAATTCAACACTATTGTGTCGGTGGACTAAATGTGCTTTATGGGATGTTTTTCTGTCAAAATAAACCGTGATGAACAGCAATGAATGCGTGTGTATTCTTATTACATGATATGTACGCCCTATCTAATAAGCTTTTTCTGCAAAAATTACACAAATTTACCAAATACATTCTTTAGAAGCTTTCCATTGAAAAACAACTAGCTGCAATGGGTGCTTAGGGGATGTAGCTTTTAACTGATGTAGAGTTTTTTCAAGATTACTCATGTCCTTTTTGGTGTAATCTATTCATAAACATTAACATGTGGAAAAACAGCGCCTTAAGGGGTTAAGGCAACTCAAACCGTTTGAGGAAACCGATTGCTACAAACCATTTGATTTAAAAAATGAATCTATATGAGTACTTAATCCAATTAAGTTGAAGTAACGAGGTATTTAATTAACTCATGACCTTCAACACTGAGTTCAAAACTCTTCAAATGAGCAGAACGGACTTTCAGTCATTTTTTAGTTAATTACACTCATTTCATTTGATAATGTTGACTGTTGGGTGTAGGAAAATGTACTTTTCAAAAAGTATTACTTTTTACAATTTGAAAAAGCTGTATTTTAAGTATTAATTTTACAATTTTACACTGTATTGAGTATTTCTGCTCACCTCTCCTCTGCTGGTGTCGCTGCTGGTGTCGTCTTCTTCGATGTCTGAAAGAGAAACACTGATCATTTAGGCCGTACTCACACTAGGTACAGTTGCCTCGAACCGGGCCAAAGCACGCTTGTCCCCCCTCCCGTCTCCCCCGACGGCCCGCACTCACACCATATCGGGCCTCGGCACGCTTACGTCATCGCTGCTGCTCTATTCAGTGAGAAGCGCTCTCTATGGCAATGCTTTTTAGCATTTAAATCTTTGTTCTGACTCCATAAATTTATTTAGAGATATCTCTAATTATATTTTGACTAGTCATAATTATAATTCCACTACTCAGAATGACAATTAGAGAAATCTGCAATTACAATTGTTCTAGTACGAAATCATAGTGGAGATTTCTGCAAATATATTATGACTAGTCGTATTCCTCCATTGACTTCCATTGAAAAATATTTGCAGATATCTCTAAATGAGTTTTGATTAGTCACAATTGTTATTAGAGATATCTCCAAATGAATTTTGACTAGTAACAATAGTAATTAGAGATATCTCTGATATCTGAGTTTTTACTAGTCATACCACATTTGGAGATATCTTTAATTCATCATATTTAGAGATATTTACAAATATATTTGAAGATATCTCTAATTAATTTACTAATAGTCGAATTACAGTTGTAGATATCTTGAATTGGATTTTTGACTAGTCAAAATTCATTTGGAGATATCTCTAATTACAATTGTGACTAATCAAAACTCATTTAGAGATATCTGCAAATATTTTTCAATGGAAGTCAATGGAGGAATATGACTAGTCAGTCATAATATATTTGCAGATATCTCCAATCTGACTAGTCGAATTGTAATTATGACTTGTCAAAATATAATTAGAGATATCTCTAAATATATTTATGGATAGTCAGAACAAGGTTTAAATGCTAAAACGGCTTGATATACGCTCTCACCCAGCAGCACAGTGGAGATTTCTCTAATTAAATTGTTTCAGTCGTTTGTTATGCAGTGACATGCAGTCAAATATTTCACCAAACTGTCCTTAGGGATGCGGTGACACGCAGTCAGATATTCCACCGGACAGATCCGCCACTTTTGGCGCGCATAAACAATCATAAAGCTCTCGTGCTGCAGGAATGAGGAGGTCTGCTGAAGGCACGCAGCTGTCGTGCAGTGAGGGGTTTGTGTCTTTAATAAACTACGGCAGTTTGCGATCACTGAACAGTAAGAATGATTAATAAATCCATATGAAACAGCCCCTTAAAAGTCACGTCTCGCTTTCAGTTGCAGGCTTTGGCTCATTTTGTGCTCACACACAAGCGTATTGCGCCAAAGCCCAAGTAAACCGCGCTCAGGCACACCTCTTCCAACCGGGCCAGGGCCAGCCAAGTGAACCGTGCTTGAGCCCGATACATAACACTGTGTATGGAAAGCATTGTCAAAGCACTGTGATGCACAGAGATATCGAATTGAACCGAATCGATGGCATGATAATCGTAACCGAACCAAACCGTGAGACCAGTATAGGTTCACACCTCTAATGCAAACCATACTTTTTTTTTTTCATAAAGTAACTGACTTTTTATAGCAGATAACTCACATTCACGCACATTTAAAGCAGCATCATATTGAGAAATGTAATTCATTGTTACTATTATTGTCATTTTCTTCATCATTAATATTCTAGAATTATTAGACATTCATTTTGGAATATGAGTCAGAGTTTTATTTATTGGATAGTTTGTTTCACATTTCTTGTTTGTAAAGGCTAAATATAAGCTAATAGGCTAATATATAATATATATATAAAAAAGTGAACATAATTTTTTGTACTGTTTTTATTTGAAGTTATAAAAAGTTATAAGAGCCTGCATGTTGTTATAGACTTAGCAAATTCAGATTGCAGACATTTGTGGGTACAGACATCCATTGTGTGCAGTCTTGCCAGTTTTTTCCTGGCTTTTTAATATTGTCCATACCAATATCGGAATTATATCGTATCGATAGGGCTGGGCGATTTTTAAAATTTTTTAGATTAATTCGAATTTACGTTTTGACGATGATTTAATTCATATTAAATCGCAATTTTAAAAAAAATATGTGATACATTATAATTACACCAATGCGCTTTGGTTCACTCTCTGTGTGAAGCAGTTCGCACACCAGAATCGCCGCTCTGTGAAGCGCCGCAGCACCATGGATTTTAGAATTCTAAACAGGTTTCTATACACACACCGGCGCCGCCCAACCGCCGTGTCGCAGCACTTCTGGTGTGCGACCGACTTGACTGTCTGTTAAAGCGTCAAGTCATGTAGGATTTTGCTTGTTGCATTAGTCTGAGTCACGTCTGGATTGTCAAGACATATTTCCTCATCAAGTCGATAAACTCGATCTCAACATGTATGAAGGACGTAAAAACCTGCCATGTGAAAAACCGCGACGATCTTAGTTTAAACCGCGCCGATCTTTTAGTTTGAACCCAGTACCCGCCCCCATGACGTCATTTAGCGGACCTAGTTGAAAATCAGACATATCAGGCAGCATAATACAGAGAGTGGAGCAAAGCGCATAAAATGATCGGTATTTAAAAGATGGAAAAAGAAAAATAGATTAAATATATTATTTTATATTAGACACACATCTGGTGCTTTTATTTGCTCCTGCTATACGTCCACAACTTCACACATTGAGTTAAATTAGGCTTTACAGTTTCCATGTTCAGTCCTTTACTTTCACTGTATCTTTTTAAGAAAAAGGCAGCAGCATTACAACCTGTCATTCAAACAGAAGACAAAGTCAAAGCCGAGCTGATAGCCAATCTTTCCTAGGCTCAGCAAAACTTGCAAAAAATACCTCTGTATTCCTGCAACTGCAATATTTACACAAATATTTCTTATTCAAATCTTCAGCAACGCTATTTAACTCATGAATTTGTTTTAAATTTATTTACACCTTGTTGACCAATTTATGTATGACATGGCCATTAAAAATACAATGTTCCTTAACCAGATGGTTTAAGTTACTTATAAAGAGAATGTTACTTCAGTCATGTTGTTGTTATGTTTTAAGTTGACTAGTTACACAATAAAAAATGAAAATAAAAAAATCGAAATCGTGAATCGGTCAAACTTTATAAAAAATCTAGATTTTTTTTTTGTCAAATCGCCCAGCCCTACGTATCGACTGCAATTAGGAAATATATCGTGATATACATTTTTGCCATATCGTCCAGCCCTAGTAAGACATTGTACTGGTGAGATGTTTTTTCTCACCTGGTATCTTGTTTTAAATCACATTAAGAAGATGGACCCCTCAGCCATTTTAGAGGAGTAGAACCTTTCCATGTTTTTATTATTTTTTATTTATTTTTTTATTTATTTATTTCCCTTTTAAATATGAGAGTAAAATATATTTTATATTATTATTTATTTGTATTTTATCGTAATGTCATTTATATATTTTGACAGAACCTAAATGTATATGTGCGTAACAGATTTAGTTTGTTTGTTGTGTAAAAAATGAAAAATTGAAAGCTATTTGTACTATTTGTTAAACTTACCTCGCTCCGTGCGCTCGAGTTTCCGTCGTCCTCTTTTCTTCCGTGGTGTGGAAGGTGCAGAGTCTTCACCAGGAGGGGTGTCTGCACCGTTCTGATGAGAGGATTCAGGAGAAGAGTCGTTGCGCTGCAGGCTTTTCTTTGCAACCCTACTGTCGGCTTCACCGTTACACTCTGACTGCTTAACACAGCCCGAGCTCTTAGTCACAACCTCACAGCTATTCACCTATCAGAAAAAAAAGAGACAATAGAGCGCGAATCACTCAAATGACTCAAATGACAAAACAAGATAACAGTAAGAATGAAACTAAATCGATTGAAGATGCGATAAGGGGACTTTCCCTAAATATACAGTTGAAGTCAGAATGATTAGCCCGCCTGAATTATTTGCCCGTCAGTTAAGTTTTTTCCCCAATTTCTGTTTAACAGAGAGAAGATTTGTTCATCATATTTACTGTATGACTAGATATTTATCAAGACACTTCTATACAGCTTAAAGAGACATTTAAAGGCTTAACTAGGTTAATTAGGGTAACTAGGCAGGTTAGGGTAATTAGTCAAGTTATTGTATAATGATGGTTTGTTCTGTAGACTGTCGGAAAAAAGAAATAGCTTAAAGGGGCTAATAATTTTGTCCCTAAAATGGTTTTAAAAATTTAAAAACTGCTTTTATTCTAGCCGAAATAAATCAAATAAGACTTTCTCCAGGAGAAAAAATTTTATCAGACATGCTGTGAAAATCTCCTTGCTCTGTTAAACATCATTTGATCCACTCAAATATCGGAGGTCTTCTGGAAGATTCCCAGTTTTAAAATGCACTAAGTATAAAGTTATGTTCTCAATTCAACTCAATTCAAATTCAATACAAATTCAAATTAAACTCAAATTTAATTAAATTAATTAAATTAAAATTAATTCAAATTAATTTTAATAAATTAAAATTAATTCAATTCAATACAGTTTAATGAATAATTAAATTATGAATAATTAAATTCAATTAAATTCAAATCAATTCAATTCAGTTCAATAGTTGCTTTAGTGGTAGTGGTCTTCTGGCAGATTTCCAGTTTTAAAATGCACTGTGTATAAAAGTTATGGTCTCAATCCAACTTAATTCAATTTAAATCAATTCAATACAAATTAAAATGAAGCTCAAATTCAATTCAAAATCAACTCAAATTCAAATTCAATCCAATTTAATTCACCTTAATTCAATTAGATTAAATTCAAATTCAATACAAATTAAAATTCTACTCAAATTCAAATTTTATTCAAATTTAATTTAATTTAATTTCAATAATTGCTTTAGTGGAAGTGGTCTTCTGGCAGATTTCTAGTTTTAAAATGCACTGTATATAAAAGTTATGGTCTCAATTCAACTTAATTCAAATCAATTCAAATTCAATAATTGCTTTAGTGGTATGACACACAGTGGTATATCACAGCCATGTCGAAGCTAAGCAGGGCTGAGCCTGGTTAGTACCTGGATGGGAGACCACTAGGGAACACCAGGTTGCTGTTGGAAGTGGTGTTAGTGAGGCCAGCAGGGGGGGCTCAACCTGTGGTCTATGTGAGTCCTAATGCCCCAGTAAAAGTGAAGAGGACACTACACTGTCAGTGGGCGCCGTCTTTCGGATGAGACGTTAAACCGAGGTCCTGACTCTCTGTGGTTATTAAAAATCCCATGGCACTTCTCGTGAAAGAGCAGGGGTGTAACCCCGGTGTCCTGGCCAAAGTCCCTCAATCGGCCCTAATGATCATGGCCTCCCAATCATCCCCATTCACCGAATTGGCTCTATAACTGTCTCTCCACTCCACCAATAGCTGGTGTGTGGTGAGCTCACTGGCGCCGTTGTCCTGTGGCTGCCGTCGCATCATCCAAGTGGATGCTACACACTGGTGGTGGTGTGGAGAGACCCCTCTCATGATTGTGAAGCGCTTTGGGTGTATGACCATACACAATAAATGCACTATATAAATACACATTACATTACAAATGCTACAAATGTATTGCCAAAGCGTTTATAAAGTTTACATTAAAAATAAAAGAACATACATACATACATACATACATAGATACATACATAGATACAAACATATACATACATACACACACACACACACACACACATACATATATACATATACACACACACACACACACACACACACACACACATACATACATACATACATACATACATACATACATACATACATACATATATACATACATACATACATACATACATACATACATATATACATACATATATACATACATACATACATACATACATACAACATACAATGTATGTTTTTGTTTTATATATATATATATATATATATATATATATATATATATATATATATATATATATATATATATATATATATATATATATATATAAAAGTAAACACAGTAAATAGTAGTAGTAATAATAATAATAATATTACCAGAATAAATGTACTATTAACAATCAACATTTATGGATAAAACAGTAATAATACATAATAATAATCCGTATATTTACAATATTCAATAACAGTAATCTAGCACTTAGTCTGTAATTGGTCAGTGTTGTACTTAATTTACTGTCCTTAACTGCACCTTAGATATGTTGCTCTCCTATAATCTCTATTTAGTTCTAAAGAACATTTAAGTTCACTTTGTTTTCCTGCTGCTTCATTCCAGTAAATGGTAAACTGATTATGGAGCTATACATATCGCATATGAAAGTGCATGGAAAACGCAATGCATATTGCTTCCTTTATCAATTTCAAAACATTTCTGAGCTTGCAGTTCTGTGGCGTCTGTCTTTGCTAGGCCACATCAGCTGGGCTTGCACACCGGACACGGAAAGCACTGTAATATGAATCCATTCACTTTTATTTCGATTGTCCATGTTTACTAGAATAAAACTCCAACAAGCTTGTGCATTCTGCGGTCAATGTTTAAAATAGTTAAACTTTTGTGCGGTATGGATTAAAAATGAATGTATGCCATTGTTATTACTTGGGGTTATGGTTAAAGGTGCTGTATGTAAGTGTTTGACTCCTCTAAAGCAAAACAATACCATAATATGTTTGTGGATATTTAGTAAATGTGCTAAGTGAACATATTTTTTTACCTGAAAAACAATGCTGAAGTCAGATATTCTTCTTTAAAAATGTGGGTTTTGTGTCGAAACATCTGTTTTTTGTTCTTTTAACCTGCCTACTGCCAATTTAGCCAATTATATTTCAGCACCCCAGGTTGCCTTTGTGGACAACAGCGTGCTAATTTATTTAGTTTAGGCTCTCAGAGTCCACGACCAAAAATGCGACCACCAGTGGACAGCAGCAGCCTCAGAAATGAGACGCAGATTCAGAGTTCCACATGAGGTTATTAATTAGCAAATAATATAAATAATACAAGTGTAAACATCAGGTGAGCAGGTTACATTGTAACACTGTGTCTGTTCAAAAGGCTTCTGGAACATTCTGCTGCTGACTAATACGCAATTGCATCGTCACTTTAATGGGCGGGACTTGGAGAAGGAAGAGAAGCAGGTGTGCAGAGGAGACAAAGAACCAATCTAAAATCGCTACAAAGGGAAAGTTATCAGCTTATCTACTCACGTTTACATGCAAAGTAACACCACTGCTGATGTATGTAGTTGTGCGTGCACAGAAAGTAAGTGTATTTGGTTTGATTGATGTAAATGTTTGCGGGTGAAATGCGCAATATCGCTATAACGTAATAGCAACTAATGGCCGATTTTGCAGTTGTAACTGATAATAGTTGATAATTAAGCTTGTTTTCATATGCATTATATTTAATGCACATAATGTTAACACTTTACATGTACAAACGTAATCGTTTTGTTGAGTTATCACTTATACTTGTTGATTTATTATCTCATTGGAAAATGTGCCTCAGTCACTTTTAGTGGCCCTCTTGTGGACAGTCACAGAAATCCTGCTGTTATTATTTCCATTCATATAATGTGCAGTTACTGCAATTTGTATTCATATTTTATAATTATAAGTATTAATATTTGCTGTTCTGTTTGTTATTTGTTGTTATTTTTACAATTACTTATGTGAGATTATTTTTGTATTGTTTCAGAAAACCACAACTTATCGTCAGTAAATGTTTGAATGAGACATGGAGTCTGAGTGAATTTCTTTGAATAGATGACAGTACACAGCTCTGACCGACTGTCTGCAGGGATTCAGATACACCTGAATCAGTGTTAAATTAAAACCTCAGTTAAGCCTGATTTATACTTCTGCGTCAGGTGACCGGCGTAACCCACGGCGCAGGCAACGCGCGTGGCTGTGCATTTATACTTCTGCGCGCTGTCTCTGTCGGTCTGCATTAACACTTCCGAAACGCTAGTTGGCAGTGAGGTGTAAATGTTCCTCTGTGTCGAGTTTCTTCGCTACTTTTTTGCATTTCCTGAACACTTCCTGGATGTACAAGTGGCTCAAACTCGCTCATTTTGAGGCAGGAACCGGCGGACGTGCAACAACTTTAACTATGAGGTAAACACAAAACAAAACTTTCCATCCGGAGCTCCTTCACGGGATTCCATACTTGTAAACAATCGCTCGCGCGGCTCTCGGTCCCGCCCAGACTCGTCAGCCCTACCAAGCCCACCAATCACAGAGCTTATGCTACGCGTCGTTGCGACGTGTAGTTACATTTTTTGAGAGGTGCACGTCAGTGACGGCGATGGCCACAGCGAAGGGCTAAGCATCAGCGCCGTAGCATACGCCGGTGTTTGACGCAGAAGTATAAATCAGCCTTTACAGTGTCCTAACAACACGCAATGTGACGAGATTTTCAGGGATAAGCAATTTGGCTGTTTGCACCAGACGAAACACGACAGAAACATTTAAACACAGCTATTCAGAAGCACAGAGTATACGTGCACTCACTGCACTCCAACAAAATGGTAAGATTTAGAATCAATTTAATACATATTAAACCTCTTTAACATTACTAATTGTACACGCTGGATCACTAATATTTGTTTGCACTGGATCACAGTTCTGAGTTCAATTTCAAACTATTTATTTTATTTTCAAGATCTGAGGGGAACTATCTGCTCGTAAAAGTCACATAAAATGGCATTCAAACTCACATTATTAGCATTTAACACTGAATAAAGTACACCTCGGTACCTAAGGTGGTCATTGTCATAGTTTTTCTGTTGTTCAGCATGTGAGAAATAGAAG